TCTTTATATATTTTTAACCGTTTTCTGGAGTAGGGTGGGCTATTAACAGGCCACTAGAACCCAGTGGTTAGTTCTACCCAATGGGCAGTATCCTTCTCCTTTTAAAGACCATGAGAAAATGTACCACATCTCCCCACTGAGCTGAGCCCCAGGAGAAGCTTGCTGGTGCCTCCAACTAAGGACATCAGCTACTGTGTGGCACAGCCATGCAGCCAGAGGAAAGGACAAACACTCAGGGCAGCAGCTGCTGGACGTGCTCCCTCTGTAGCTGCAGTCGCCCGCCCCCCTGCTCCTTCTTGCTGCCTTCTTCCACTCCTGACTGCCAGTCTGAGTCACTGCTTTTGCATCTAATGCTCAATTTCCTGCTCACATCTGTGTGGCCCTGCTAGCAGTGGAGTCCCGGGGAAACAGGGTTCCTGCCCTGGCTCCATCCCTTTGAGGTGTGCGGCTTTCATCAGGTCACTGAATTACCAGTTTCAGGACTGTCCTCAGTAAAATGTGTCAATAATGCCGACTGGCTGGCTTCACGGCTAGGTGAGTGAGTGGAGGTGAAAGTGCTGTGCAAACTACAAAGAGCTCTAGATCAGCAGGGATTCCTGCCCTCACCACTCCTGTCTGGAGCTGGCCAACTGCTGCTCCAGGGAAGATCCTTCATTCTACTATTTGCTAAAGAATGCTAAAAGAACTAACCAGTGTCTTCTCAGGAGCTTACGTATGAGCCACATACCAAAAAGAATCAAAAGGTCATTGAAAAAGTATCCTATGTAAGATCCAAGTCCTATTTTCTCAACCAAGCCCCCACCTCAGGTCATCAGCAAACGAGGGCATCGTTGTTATTGGGTATCAACCGGGCGGAACTTACGTGCCAAAGTGACTGAGGAAGGCAGCAATATACTCTCTTCTTTTGTGATATCCTTGAATCACATACTGCACCTGGAATAAGAAACCAAAGCTGACAAGTGGGGTAGGACAATTTTAAAAGCCTTATTATGAAAAATTCTAAAGATTCAGAGGAGAAAGAATAGTGAAATGAACACCCATATTCCTACCACACGAATATTCGATAGCTGTGAATGTTTTGCCTCACTGCTTTATCCAGCCTTCTACTCCATACCTCTCTATCACTCTATCAGCCAGTCTTGCTGCAACATTTCAAAGGTAATGAGAGACATCATGACAGCTCACCCCTAAATACTTCAAAATGTATTTCCCCAAATATAAGACATTCTCTTACACAACCAGGACACCACTGTCATACCTAACACATTTAACGATCATTCTCTGAATTCACTGAGTACACTGACCATTTTCAGAACTTCCCAATTGTTGGGGCCAGCTAGGTGTTAGACTCCCATATGGCCAACCACAGTTTGAGTCCCAGACATGATGGCTTATTTCCTCACCTTCCCTTTCTCTTTCTGGTGAGTACATGTTCCTATAGCAAATTTACAAAGAATAATAATAAATAAAATTAAATAATTCTAAAAAAAAAACACAAAAAAATTTCCAATTGTCCTGAAAATATTTTCTAATGAGCAGTGCACAATCAAGAATCAGACATTTTATTTTCTTATATGTCTGAAGTCTTTTTGTTTTTTAGAGAGACTTTTGTTATAGGGTGCATGTGCTTGCCAGAGAGACAGAAAGCGAGAAATCACCCCCCCAAGGGGGGGATGGCCACACTACAATCCCATCTCCTCCATTCTCCTCTCCGGATTTTAGGCACACATGCTTGGCATGAGTTTTTAAGCTGCTATGTCCGGGACTTGAACTGCAGTCGACTACATGGGAGTCTAACAACATAACCGTTACACCATCAGCTGGTCCCATCCCTGAAGTTTTTTAATCTAAAATAATAACACCTCTTCGATCATGTGTATGTGTGTGTCTCTGCACACCCATACATGACTTTTCAAAAGAGACTGGACTTGGAGAATGTTTCAATTCTCTGTTTCCATTCTTTTTCCTTTACTTTTTGCATTTCCTATAAATTAGAATTTAGAGCTAAAGGTATGATTAGATTCAGATTAAACATTTTTGTTAAATGTAACATATAACATTGGGCTTGATCACTTAGGCAAGGTGATGATAGCCAGACCACTTCGTTGTAAAGGAATGCTTCCCTTGGCCATAGCGAGGGACCTATGGGTGTACTTCTCAAAGCACGCAAAGATCTACTTCCCCACGCAAAGATCTACTTCCCCACGCAAAGAGCTACTTCCCCACTGACCTTTCATCTAGGATTTTAGTAACTGTTGGGAGATTCATGTGGGCATCAGTTATTTCATCAGCAGCTGCGAAATGGTAACTTTGGAATTCGATCATTCCTTTTGCATTAACAGCTGGCATTCTCTGTAATAAAGAACTCTGGAGGGCAGCAGGTGGTGTAGTGGTTAAGTCACTGGACTACCACTTGTCCCACTGTGGTTTGAGGCCCAGACCCAGCAGTTTGAAAATCATACCAAGAATGTGTCTGTACATGCCCAAAATTCCAGGAGGAAAATAGAGGAGAAGGGATGGTGGTGTGGGTGGTGTGGCCCTGCTCCCTCTCACTGTTTCTCTTTGTGGAGCATATAAGCACTATGGAAAAAAAAAAAAAAAAAGAGGAAGAAAAAGAAGAACTTTGTCTCATCAAGTAGACATTTTTTGGTTATCAAGTCCCATTAAAAAGGTGGGATAATGCTTAATTCTTTTTAAAATCCTAATAAGACTTTATTTCCTTGTTATCACTGAATGACAGTTTCTATTAAAAAAATTATTAACTCATTAAGCTAGGCAACTGAAGGTTAGTCATTTATCCATCAGCTTCTAACATGAAAACATATGCCTTATAGTGTCCTCATAATTTACGGTTAAAAGACACAGTGGGAAATAAGAGACCCCCAAATTGTTTATATGAGCTGTAGTCACACTGAGTTTTCATGGCTAACAAAAACTCAAGATAAAGTACTTGAAATGACCTTGACACAATTAGTGCAGATAGCCATGTTAAATCCTTTAAAAGTAAAACAATCCTATTTATATAAAAGAGGTTTATGTCAATTTATAAAAACAGTTGCTTACTCTGCAGGCTTAATGCAGGATCAGAAATGTTATTTTGGGAAAAGAAAAACAGATGATAAGTTTGCTTAAGTGGCTTTGTTTAAAAAGGGGATGAAAACAGTTCTGTATACTTGATTTTAAAAACAGAAAACCATTTTAACAGAAACCCACAACAAAACTGGCTATAAAGATAGATTCCAATGTAATTATGGAAATCCATTTGAAGAGATTGTTTCTAAAAGCAGCCCCATACTGTCCTCATTTGTAGCAAACAGAAGAACACCAATTTTAAAAGACAAGTAAAATTAATGAAAGGGAACCAGATAAGAAACATGGACTGATTCTTATATTTCTGGGAAAATTGTATTAAATTTTTCTCTTTTTTTTTTTTTTTGAAGAAAATGTATGACTAGAAATTAATCTCCTTTGGAGAGCTTTAAAAAGGCTTTTTCTTCTCAGCTCTGGAAGACCAAATTTGCATTTTTTTCCTATAATTCTGGGACACAGATTTGAAGGCAGTGCAAAGCCCCAGAATGTAAATAAGAATTCTGAACTGGGGACGATCAGTTTGGTAGGAGGGCAGAGACGTAGAGCAACTTGGTCCGATGAGAAGGGACCACTCCGTGAGAGTTAAGTGCCCTGGAATCTGTGCCAGGACCACAGCTGCAGCGATGCCCAGATTTTAGTTTCTCTGATGTTTGAAAAATAATACTGAAGTCTTTGAAATATCATTATAATTTAAAAATACCTTCTATGTACACGGGAGCTATCTTTTGAATGACAGAGATAAACAAAAGATCAATTTTCTAGGCCAATGTGAATATGTCAACAGAAGCAAAGAAAATGGCATTTTGCCAATTAAATAAACTGAGTCCCAGTCCATGTGATTCCAATGTAATTATGGAAATCCATTTGAAGAGATTGTTTCTAAAAGCAGCCCCATACTGTCCTCATTTGTAGCAAACAGAAGAACACCAATTTTAAAAGACAAGTAAAATTAATGAAAGGGAACCAGATAAGAAACATGGACTGATTCTTATATTTCTGGGAAAATTGTATTAAATTTTTCTCTTTTTTTTTTTTTTTTGAAGAAAATGTATGACTAGAAATTAATCTCCTTTGGAGAGCTTTAAAAAGGCTTTTTCTTCTCAGCTCTGGAAGACCAAATTTGCATTTTTTTCCTATAATTCTGGGACACAGATTTGAAGGCAGTGCAAAGCCCCAGAATGTAAATAAGAATTCTGAACTGGGGACGATCAGTTTGGTAGGAGGGCAGAGACGTAGAGCAACTTGGTCCGATGAGAAGGGACCACTCCGTGAGAGTTAAGTGCCCTGGAATCTGTGCCAGGACCACAGCTGCAGCGATGCCCAGATTTTAGTTTCTCTGATGTTTGAAAAATAATACTGAAGTCTTTGAAATATCATTATAATTTAAAAATACCTTCTATGTACACGGGAGCTATCTTTTGAATGACAGAGATAAACAAAAGATCAATTTTCTAGGCCAATGTGAATATGTCAACAGAAGCAAAGAAAATGGCATTTTGCCAATTAAATAAACTGAGTCCCAGTCCATGTGGGAGAGGACTCAGTGTTGCTTGTGCATTGATATCTCTAGTTTTCAGACAAATACACTGACTGGCTAGATATTAACACGTATATTCTTACAGTTTCTGGAGATATCTAACAACAGCCTTAAAGTAAACTCATATTCTTGCCAGGGTAGGGGGTCATTCCCGCAGCTAAGAGGAGGCTTTAGATAATGAGTCAAGCCTGGGTAGAAGACCAGCTTACCTGGAATCCTCGCCCAGGGAGCAGGACTCTAGTAAACATTTTTTTTTTTTAAAGAAGTATTTTATTTAACTTTATTTGTTTATTTATTTATTTTAATTTGACGAAAAGGGAGAAAGTGAAAGTGAGAGAGAGAGAGGGAGAGAGAGAGAGCAAGTGAGAAGGCAAGCCGTCAGGTCAGAGACTTGAACCGTGGTTGGCCATGTGGGAGTCTAGGCCTTTTTTTTTTTTTTTTGGGGGGGTTTTTGCTTTGGGG